GATTTGCCTGTTCGACACCAGGTAAGTTGAACGAACCAAGAGAATATTCTGCAGTAGTATTGCTGAACACATACCTGGCGCTCCAGGGTAAAACAACTTGTGGGGAAAATGCATTATGCGCCTTGCATTGGACTGTTAAATCATGTGTATAATCAACAAATTTCGTCATAATAATAATAATAACACGGAGCTAACACAAACATTGTCTACTGCAGGCTGCCGAACCGGCTATAATTAGACAACTTTACTCCATTCAATATAAAACATTGGACTTAGTGACCAGTTTTACCCCTCCGCATTGTGGGGCTGATAACTCGGTTACCAGACCGTTTTTACATGTAGTTGCTCGTGGGATGAGCCTCGGTGAGATTCCAACCCAGTTATGGAAGCCGTTTAAGCAAGCAGTACAGTATACGCCATACCGGATGTACTACAAAGTCACATAACCCGTTTTGATCATTTCCTATTTGGTTACCCATTCGAATTATTTAGACACTTAACTTAGCTGACTGTCACAATATGTTTTCCCCAGAATCACAGGAATCCATCGAGTGAAGCCTATGCTGAAGGAAATTGTTCACATTTCATCGTTCCGCAGATAGCTCACAAAGTTCTTCGTAAGATACTAGTGAGGAAAGATCACGATAGGCGTGACTTCGTGGATTAGCTCGTAGAACGCGAGCTACACAGAGGTATAGGCGGCGATCATGCGTGGGTTCAAAACCTACCGAGGTGTTTTATCTTTCAAACTTGGTTTATATGAAAAGCTTTTGAAAATCTACTGAACAATCAGATATTTATTGCTCAAAAGAGTGCAAAACTGCCTACTTCACTCACCTAGCAGTCGTTAGCCTCCGGAAATTACCAGTTGACTTGAAGGAATCCTCATATTTTATTCGACTCGGGGTGCTCTGATCTCTGATACATCCAAAATTTAGCTTGCGATCAATGCATAATAATAATAATAATAATAATAATAATAATAGTGTCATCAATTACTTTACTTCTTTTATTAAGTAACTCAATGGGAAAACCAGATTCTTTCTGAATGAGGGAACGCTTATTCCCGTTGCTACAAGGTGATGCAAAGATGATGGGGAATGAGGCTGCGGTGAGATTACCATGGGTGGCTTATAGGGCTTCTCAACGCCCACCATTATGTCCGTGTACACAAACCAAATACCCGTGCGTATCTAGACAGCTCTTGCACTTTGTCTCATGTCACATGGATTTGGACAATGATGGGAAATGAATTCGTGTTCTACCCATGCACCGATTGTAGTAGTAGTAGTAGTAGTAGTAGTAGTAGTACGCATGGAATTCGGAACACGAACCACTCAATAAGAATCACAGGACACGAATCTAGGATAGGCTATCACGGACTGGATCACGGAAACACTGGACCGTAATGGTACGAGCTCGCAATATCTCACGTGAACGAGACGCGATAAAAACGCCAAGAGAATGATAGCTTGTAGTTCGCTTATTGGAAGGAATGAAGGCGATTAAATAATATGTACAAAAGAAAATCTTTGGTTATCGAGGCTTCCACCAATCATTTTGCAATACTGCTTGCATGATTCTACTTCTGTTTGCACTGTCTCCGATTGGCTGGCACGATCTGCCTATGGCGTGTAGTCGGAAGCCGTACGTTTGTCATTGACATCACCTTTCGAATTTGATTGATCGCAGATGTCCNNNGTCCAGAAACTGTAACACACCGCTCCAGGGTAGGCGTCATCACTTAACCTGGATCACCACAACCGATCCACTAATTACGTTCTGTATTCAGGTAAAAATTATCTGCAATTTTCTTACCTCCATTCTCACATAGATCAGGATTTACAATGCTGATCACAAAATGGAGGGGTCAAGAACGGTTTTAGAATTTGATTGTCTTTTTGATGACTAGATCGCATTAGTTTAACCGTGCATCTAGCTTTGCAATTCATGTTTTTTCCTACACGCTCGAACACGGAAATCCGTAATGGAACTTGCGTTAATTACGATATACGCTTTGGGTTCCCAAAGAGTACAAACTACATGTTTCGTCTTGTTACTTTGATAAAATTTTACTGAAGCTGTATTTTCTAATCAATACGGAATTGAGATTCAAGCGTATAATAAATTCCCGAGAGCATCATCTGATGGTCTGAGTCAGTCTGCAATTCCATGCATTCCCTGATTGTTCAAGGATTAGCGGCTTCTCGTTGGTCCAATTGGTCCAATCAGAACCATGCAATCTCACTCAACGACTTTTGGTTACTGCATTCGATTAACCAATTTAGAAGTGCCGGTGATTCATTCGTTGTTGGTCGGTCCAATGTTTACACAAAATATAGCCTGTACGTTTATTGTCTGCTCGAATGTATGAAGATTTCAAAAAGTGAAGATGACAGGAGAAAACAGTCGCTAATAAGATCCTTCTAACTGCTGCTATCTCGGTGAGAGCCAACTATCGGTGTTCCGAAACCGTAAGGTTCCGAATACATTGTCACTGTTCTTTTCTCTTAACGAGACAGTTCAAGGAAGCGGTAACTGGAGGCTCAATGAAGGCTCCATTGGCATAAACTGAACTACAATATCCTTAGTTTGGATGCCAAAAGATAGTAACCAAGGTTTTTGTGCTATCAACTGCGTCACATAAATGACGCTTCTGTTAATTTTACACCAATGAATACGGTTTTTGTTACATGGATTTACGCGAACAGATAAGCGGTTAGCTTTCAAAAATTTGAAATGTACGGGTGTTCAAAAATTTTAACTGGAAGCCGTCACTAAATGAATATCACTGTTGGTCAATGATCAAACAACAAAAATCAGACGAGTTTCCAAAATCATGCAGAGACAATGTGAGAAATTGAACTACCAATATTCCAGACAAGTAAATCTATAATGGACTGATTAAATGAAGAACTGAACAAAAAATCTGAGTTGCCTAATCCGGTTCACCTTTCGTATACGAAGGAATGAGACGGATTCAAGAGAATTTGGTATCGGCTATCCGAATAGAGTGATTCGTTTCTCGGACCTGAGACAAAGCCATTCAGGTCTTGTCCCAATGGTTGACTGACTACGTTGAAGGTTTGAAGCATCACTATTTTCTTATTAAAATGGACTAATCCTAAACATGCTTTCGGCTGTCCGCCTGTGACGCATCGCCTCGATGATCACCGTGTCAGATTCACAGCCACCTTAACAGGCTCATTGTCTATTTCAATGAAACACTGAAGGTGGCGTTTTTAACTAACTCTTTTCAGCAGGATAATCTGGCATTACATCGGCGCCGTGATCGATATGCGATAGTGAAATTTTTATGTGTTAGATACTCATTTCGAGCACTGCATTTCTCGAATAGTGCACCAAAGTGTCGTACTGATAAACGGGTAGCAGTCACTCTTTTACCGAAAGTTGAAGTTTCTCATAGTGATACAAAAATAACAGTGTGATTCAATGAAGAGTATTCATTTAAGCTTTAACTCTTAACGTGTGGCACCTGCATGAAGACAGAATAGCTGTAACAGTTAAACACAAAAATCTTAGTTCCTGATTGTATAATAGACTCAAACAGTATATTGTTTGGCTGTGCTTCAGTTCGGTTGTGAACCAAATGAAAGAAATGAGATTGAAATATTAAACTTTGTACACCATTTGCATCCGATTTAATTCTTGTCAACGGAACCCCCTCGCCAACCAGTTTCTCTTGCGACTTGACAAACTAGGACTGTCACACACTGTTCTGTATGTAAGTATTTGTATTAATCGAAATTCAATATCAAGATGGTCGGCACAAACAGGCGATCATTTTAGGGTCAAATTGAAAATGACAAATCCGAGGGACGTGTGCGTGTATGAAGGTGAACGGGGTATATTATTGAAAGAAGTCAACCTTTATACTCAGCACTGAATCGAACACCCGGTTATTATTTACTTTGTGAAAAATATATTTGATATCCAGAAATAACATGCCTTTGATATTCTAAACACATTCCTAACGACTTGAAGAAAGCTCGGATACCATGAACCTTATCACTAAAAGGGTCGTAACTGAGTCGGGATCTCCAAAACACAACGTGGATATTAAGTTGACTAAATAATGGCTAGGATACAAACATATTCAATAGGTGATAGGAAATTCCCCCTGTATCAGAAAACCGCCTAATGATCATTATCCTCCCGTGAATGTCGATCACGTGCTCACGTCCGTCTACACCCTTTGCGACTGACGTTGAATGTGTTGCTAACACATTCTGTCGGGACGGAGGGCACAGAGCCCGTCAGGCCACGCACCGATCCGCGTCACACCACAAGTGCGTTCGTGACGCCCAAAGCCGAATCGATTCCGGATTGGATGACTGAGACGAATCGGTCAGCCGTCGTTCGAGCGATCAACCGGAGTATCAAGATCGCGATCTGATTGGTGCATCATCACATACGTCGAATTTACCACATATATTTGAGTATTGTGTCATGATCAATAACACTCTGACTGCCGTCTTCTCAGCCGTGTTCTCTCTCCGATTGTTGGAGGTTAGTCAAAAGGCGCTCATATCGACCATACCTCTGACAAGACATAACACATTCCAAGAGAAAAGTTGCTCGTACAGGCTACTAATTTCGATTTTACCCACAGTAGCTTGTCATGATTTTAGATGAGATCTGATTAATTCAGTGTTCCTTATCAAGGCTTCTGTGACTTAAATTTCTCGTAAAATAGTTACACCCACCAGTTTGTTGCACCTCATCTTTATATATTGCATAGTTTACCAAAATTGGCCCTTTGAAAGGGACAGATAGTGCAAACAAAGGCACTCAGACCATTGTAAAAGCCATAAACCAACGCCCAGTGGATCCAAGTAAACTGTCTTTATTTTTAGAAAGATTGTTATGTATCGAAACGGCAATAGAAAACAAATAATGTAGTTCTCCTGTTTTACACTCTAGCAAAATTGCTCGAATGGTTGGAATGATTGTTTCACACAGGTGTCAGACGATGTCACTCAACGAGTAAACAACGGAGGTGGTCCGGTGTCACACTCGGCTCGATATAGATCCGGTTGAAGAAGGGACGCGACCGTATCCTCACGCGGATTCCGTTCAATGAGCGAGGATGGTCTCCTACGAGCGGCGAACTGCCGCTGATGAGCCAGCCTTTCTGCGGGTTCCGTCAATCCATCCGCCCATCCTTGCATTGCTGCCGCACCGGCAACGTCTAAGGGCATAGTATACTTTGAGAAAGAGAATCCGCAAGTAGTGATAAATTATTTAAGACAGAAAAACCGGAATACCAGAGTTCCTAAACATATGAGTGATAATATACCGGTAACTACGACACATTCTTTTGTGAGATTGACAGTAAGACAGGATGGGGTACAACGTGTGCGTACAATCCAAAAGTATTTTTTGGCAAAACTTGGGGCCAGAAAAAGCGTGCCCATTATCACACTCACAGGTTAGTTTCTTGAAGAGACTGAGGGAAATATGAACGGTGATTATAATAGGATGCCATTGAATTTCAAAATTTTGTAACCAAAATCCGGAAGCAATACAGAAGAATAACAAATTTTGATCGGGAGGATAACGGCATAAATAAACAAATATTATAAATTACGGAATGTAAACCATCGTGATTTACCAAAGCATTACAAACAGTGTTACCTCCATTGGACTTTGTTGGCAGTGGAAATTTTCAAGTACTTCGTAAAGCCAACTCGAGAGAATGTTATTATTATTATTATTATTGTTATTATTATTATTATTATTACTATTGGTTATGATTTCTTTGGGAAATAGTGATCGGGAAAAGTAAAAATGCTTTCAGAACTTTATTGAATAGAATAAATCTAGACCAGGATGAGTAGAAAACAAAGCCATACTTCACGCATTCTCGTAAAGCATGTTGAGCTCAGTTTCATAGCACATGAACTGATACAAAATGACATCATCCGCGTACTTTTAAATCTAATCTGAACAGATACCGTGCAGATCGGTGATATCAGCAACTTGGAACACTCCGGGAGCGTTGACAAGGGATGGGAGGTCAAAGTAGAAAGGGTTACTTACCTTGATACACAGTACGCTGTCAGTTTATTGGTCTGATAACAGGGCAAGTTATTGTTTTTTCTTATTTATGGGAAAGCGGTAGTCGGAGGATCAAGTTCAAAGTGGGGGAGTAGTTGAGAAACATTCGCTTCGTCATGTAAAAATTTAAAACAGTTGGTCTCGTTTTATCTATTGCGCGATTGCCGCATCATTGTTCTTCTGTTGAAATTGATGTCAATTAAGGAACTAAGGAGGTCAAATCATCTAAGATGTGCTTATTTCTTTCGTAAGCGAATTGGAGGAACAATATATTGTGGTCGTAATCTGCTGTTTTGGTTGACCTGCTTGAATTATTCATAACTCTAATGCGGGCTTACAAAATCCTACAATGGTTTAAAGAAAATCATGAATAACCGCAAATGAAATTGATTGTGTCATTAATTTCGGTTTGAATTATAGAAGTGCCCAAATGGTAAAACAGAGTTAGTTTCAATCTCTTTCATAACAACACACACACACACAAACCCATGTGGCTCGTGTAATGATCCTCATTTGATGATTTAAGTAGTAGTGTGTTAAGTTGTTTGGAGGCACTTTACTGCAACTCACGTTCAAATCCTTCTCGGAATCAATCTGACATTCCTCGGCACTCCTTGCGAAGTGTTTTTCCGTCTCGGGTGTTGCGCGCTCCCACACAAAGGCACCATGTCTCTGACCGTGCACGAAAAGGGGCAAACAGAATTGATTCAAACAAACAAACAAACAAATTAAAATAAGCTAAACATACAAATAATAAATGATATCATCGTTTCTTTTTATCGGTCTTTCCGCTCCGCTGTGTCCATGATCTGGATGGAGTATAGTGTGCGCACGGTCTGGCATTGACCGGTATCAACTCACTTTGCCGCGTGTAGGATAATTGTTCGGCTGGCGCGAATTGTACATGTGTTCGAATGAAATTTTCTCATTCCACAGACGTTGCTTTCCGTCCTTAAACCAGACCGGAATCACGGGAACTATACCCGGGGTAGAAAGAAATGCACAAATTTGATAGTTTATTCAAAATACACTGAACACGTGGATCTTATGCGGCATGAGTGGTAGACGGAGAACCATTTCAAATATATATCAGCCGGTCTAATTTTAGCACAGCTACTATTGCAACAAAAGTGACAATTTCACAGAAAAGACTGAGATTAACATGCAATGAACAAGCTCGTTGTCAGCTAAGCGTGATCGTACGAGGGCTGAGCGAAAGGTGGTTGGACGCAGAAATCGTTTTATTTGTTACCTAAAAATAAGCCTTACATTTTATTGCAGTAGTCTCCATCAGCGTTCATGCACAGTTCCATGCACTCAAACCATTTGGTGTATAGGCTCGACCATGGCGAAGCTGGTAACCCTTCGACCAGTTCAATAAAGGACTCAGTGCAGCTGTTGGTGACTCGTATCGAATCCTAAGCATCATGTACTTGACAATTGGGAATATAAAAGTCACACGGAACCAGGTCTGGACTGTTTGGTGAGTGACCAACCTCCTGAATTAGTTCTCTAATAAAAAAATTACCGATGACATGGGATTTGTGTAGAGGTGTGTAGTCATGGTGCAGCGAGTTCCGTCGTGTCCGAGGCTTTGGAAGACGCCTAGTAACAGCTTCCAGCACTTTGGGCAGACAGTGGGTGACGTACCAATTTCCGGTGTCTGTGTTTTACTGTACGAGCAGCCCAGTAACCACATGATCGTTTTTGGCCATGAACATAGCCAGCGTCTGATTTGCTACACTGCACTCGTCTAGGACTTTCTGAGGCGGAGCTCTACTAACCGGCATCCACTGAGCCAATTGCTGCTTGGTTTCTGGGTCAAAACTGTACATCTAGGTCTCATCACCACTGATTATCCCTCATAGTGCATTGGAACATCCACCATCCGACCCGCCAAATATGGCGCGGCACCAATTCATCACGTCACAAGCACTGATGATGTCACCTCGGCTGGTGATGAAACGTTTGCAAACAAAGTGCCAATCTCGTAGAACAGGCGAAATGGAAAACGGACTGCTTTCTGTTCCTCGCTGACCTGATGGGGTACCCAGAGTGCACAATCCTTTATAAGGCCGAGCTTCTCATATAGGATGGTGTGGATTGATCACGATGCGATCCCAATGGCTTTCACCAGCTGTACCATGGTCACCCGCGCATCTTCAATCAACATCGCTTACACAGTAGAGACATTGTCCGCTGTGGTGGCCTCCACAGGTGGACTACGCTGTGCCTCATCATCTAAAGACCACCTGTCACACCTTAATTCCGCAAACCACTTAAACACAATGCTTCTTGAAGGCGCGTCATCTCCAAAGGAAGCCCGCAAACGATCAACACACTGCAGCTACTTGGGACCACATTTGTAGTCATGGTAAATCGCACCCCTCCAGTCACATCACATCGACCAAGTTCAATCTTCACAATCTGAGTAAAGCGACGCTTAGGACTTTTGATTTGCTGTTCTCGGTTGTTCATATTTGGTTCTGTGAGCTGCAATCGTTGAATAATATGCACAGTAGATTAGAGTTCACGTTTTCTTTACCCGGTTATCTGTACCTCGTATGCGCAGTGCGCATCCGGAAACGTTTTAATCGGTCCTCCTACGGATAGACAACATGAATAAGGAGTAATAATAAAAGAAAGTTGATGAGAAATTACTAAATTAATGGCTTAGTTCGTACTCTGAAAGTGTGTTCGACAGCCCTCGTACTGTTCTCTGGGGTATTCTATTCAAACATGTAAAAGAGGTCAAAGACACACTTTATGGGCCTCACTTTTACATTAAGCTCTTTAGGAAATTGCCTATAGCTATTGCTCGAATTCAGTTTCTAAATAAGTGTAAATCGAATTAAGAATATCCCAAATAATTGCTAACTTTACTGAGAAGAAATTGTGTCAAAATTGCTAAAAATTACCACTGGTGTACACGCACAACATCCTATTTCAATTTAATCATGTACTATGGCACACGAATGATTGGGTTGAAAATAGAGTAATCACCTCTAAGACCCTTTGTGTGGTCAAACGCGAAAAACATCTTATTGAGTTTCCATTCAAACAGTAAGCTCTGTGCAAACCATACATTGATAATGTATTGTGCGTGTTAGATGTGAATGAAGACACACTGATCACTAGCGGATGTGAACAGCATCTATGCAGCGTGATTTTTTCCCGGGAAAAGAAAAGGACAGTAGTCTAGTGTGTCCAGACCTGTGCACGAACTGTCACAGTGGTAATTCTGTCCAGTTACTGGTGTAAAGCAAAGGCGAACGGAACATACAAAAATTTCCCGCTTCAAAGAAATGGAAATTTAATACGTTACTCAGTTGATAGAGGAAGGGAAATATGAAACGCAGATACTATTGATGAGGCGGTGGTGGCTCGGTGGTAACGTCGTCAAATTATCACCCCGGAGGGCGTGTGTTTTCAATCCCACCACCACTGCCCAACTTTCCCCATTCTGAGTTGTATGGCAACTCTTTGATTGGCCGCTCCTCATGCCTGAAAGTTGCATCTTTGTGTATTCAATAAAAGGAAGTTAAAATGAAAATGAAGAATGAACTCCATTTCTTACGCAATGTTTGCTCACAAAACGGTTGTCTGGACCGATTAATCAATAAGACAATTTAAAGCAAAAAATGAAATACCATGAAATACCAATCGCACTCCATTGGATATCCCACAAGATTATTGGTGTTTGGGCCGTTATATGTCACCCATTGGACCGGGTCTGTCTAAACCCCGTCCAGTCTGAATGAACTCACTTCCCCGTTAACAAACAAAAGTACTTTTTTAGTGAGGTACCGAGCAAGGTTGAATGTTTCGGGGGGGAGGGTTGAGGTGTTCCGTTCTCCCTCGCCCCCCCCCCTCCACACCTGTTCCACCTGGGAACGTTAAGTTCGTGATCGTTGATCGAGTGTGCGTCATAGATACGAATGAACGAACCCGGAGTTAATTGACCTCTGTCGGTCGGTCAGGTAAGGAAGCGAATCACATCAAGATGGATCGATAAGTCGGTCACCATGCCCAGACGTGAATGTGAGTATGATTCATTGCATGAATGGTGTCAGTCTAAACCCACAATAACCCAATGAGTAGATTCCACTGAGGCCGAGTTTCTCTCGAATAAAACCGATTTACTTGAATCAAATGCGATTACTTAAGTATTTCTACCATTGAAATGCACACTTGACAAGATACTTAACAATGGTAACAGTGGTGAAAGAATTAACAATATTTCACCTGAATAGTAGGATCGAATTCGAACCTATTCACTAGCTAACAGAAATCATATTTTTCCTTGTCATTCCATGGCTGACTAACACATTCAACCAACGATGCCAATAGCAACAATCTGTTACCTGCGGCTTCTCCCTTCGCTACTCAACTTCATCGCATAGGCTCTTATCTTTATTGTATCATTGCTCAACTCGTCGCATTTTTTCACGTACTGGTTACATCTGTGTGATCATTTATAGTTTAGTGAATGAAACAGGTGGTGATAAGAATGATTTACAGTTATCCACGATCCCACAAGCAATGATAACTCTGAACTGGGTGCCCTATGGGGTATTAAGTAGAGGTCGGCAAAATATTCTACCCACGGTTGTCTTAATACTGAATGCTGAATGACAGAAAAGGTTCAGTGGCCCCGCGGATGCCACTTTGCAGTATATTTGCCGTATGTTTTACCATGAAGGATTATGTAAACGAGCTGCCTATCATAAAGTTGGGGAGCAGTGA